TGACCCCGAGAGGCAGCTTCAAAACACCAAGAGGACTCGTCGCAGACGCAGGGAGAAGCCACAGCCCCGCGGTGACCCTCTTCCGCCGGGCGCCTCCATTCCCACAGGGACCACAAACCCGACACTAACCTCCGCCCTCGCCGCGCGGTTTTGTGCCCCCTCAGCCGGGTCGCAGGGCCACTGACCTCCCTTCCCCTGTAACCGGCGGGCGGCGAGGGAACAAAATCCTCCCAGCCTTCCCGTCCGCTCCCTCCTCCTTACCGTCTTGGCGGCCTCCGCCCAGGTCCTGCCCTTCTTCCTACGGCCCTTTTCCCTCATGTCGGGTCTTGAACTGACTGGGAGGCTCCCGTGTCCGGGCTGCGGCCGCCCTCCCTGCCTGCTTTGCCCTGCGCTGTTTTTCCCGCGGTGCCGGGAAAGATGGGAGAAAGGGGAAGTCAGGCCGGAGGAGCACCCAAGCAGAGGAAGCGGCGGGGGTGGTGCGCGGGGGGCGGTCTATGGGGCGGCCGGTCCTCCTGCTGCCGTTACCACTGCTACCGCCGCTGCCATATTGGGTCCCTACTGTACAGGCAGCCGCTACGGTCATGTGACCGCTCCCGCGCGGCCGTCACTACTGTACGCAGCCGGCCGCGCGAACGAGCGCGCGCGCGCCCCAGCCTCCCGCGCGGGGATGCAGGGAGAACGAGCCGGCCAGCCGCCGCGCCTGGCCACTCCCCCGCCCTCCGCGCTCCGCCTCGCCTAGAGAGCATGCGCATCGGGGAGGTCCGACGCTACGCTGCGTCGGGCATCTTGCGCTCTTGCTTACAGCGAAAATCTGCCTGCGGAAGCGGAACTTGATCCGGCCCGGAAGGTTTATTGAGTGGATTTTGACCGCGTGCGGGGCGCAGCGGTGGCTATAGAGACGGGGACCCTCGCAACTATCACTTTCAATAAGCCTCGAACTTTCATTTTTTATTTGTCCACGTTCATTTTTAGAAAGGTTATCTTTTTGAAGATTTACAACAATTTTCGTCCACTTTTTTTACCCCATTTGATAGATGAAGCAATTTGAGATCGAGTGACGCCAAACTCACGAGTCTAGAATATGGTGAAGCCAAAAATCAAACTACGAGCTCAGAGTCCTTTCCGTCTCTCCAGAATGCCTCTCAGTCTTAGGTGACCTTGATTTTACGGCCACCAGTAACTACATTCACGCTTCTACATGTGAATGTCTCATCAAGGACACAAATGATGTCTTTTTTATCTTGGTGAGCTCGCTCCCTGGCACAGTGCCTGTATATATCAGGCGCCCAGTAAATATTTGCTGAATGATTCAGCTGTATCTGTGGTCAGAAACAATTATTTGTAGTGTCCATAACAGCCTCCTGAAAGATCAAGAATGTGGCATCTTCCGTCGCATTTCCATGTCTTTATATTTAGAAAAGTATGGAATGTGTAGTAACGCCTACTAATCTCCCAAATCCACCTGCTTCCAGAAGCTGTTTCCGATCTACTAACTTACTATTTTCTAAAATAGAACTGAGAGTTGAGCTGTTTACTGGGAGAAAAGACCGTTGAGAACAATACTTAACTTGGAGTCCATGGATAGGTTTCAGAAGTTTATGGACCCCCTAAAATTATGGGCAATATTTTGTGTGTTAGTTGTGCATTTTCTGAGAAGAGGATTCATAACTTTTCCTCAAGTTTTAAAAGGGGTCTGTTACACACATGCACACAAAGTCTTAATAGGGAGTTTGAGAGGCATCTAGATACTTCCTTATTTTTCTCCTTCAGTCATTAATCAGACAGCCCCATATCAGCAATTCATAATAGATATATTTTCACAAATTCCTTTAGTAACTCATGGCACTATCCATAACATGCAAGGTATGCACCGTCTCACTCTAAAGCGTAGGTCAATAGTTCAAGAAGCACCTCTCCTTTCCCAGCTGTTGACTGGGACTTGCCATCTAGCCCTGTTGCCTGGGCACTTTACCTCAGCTTGTTTTCAAATCCTGCTAGGACAGATATTCCCACTGTCCTTACTTTGCTTTTCTGGAGCTCCATTCTCAGATTTTAATTTCAAGGGTAGGGACTGTGGTATTGCAGTTCCTACTTTTTAATTTTCTACAGATCTGAATGGTTATTATTATCATTATTATTATTATTAAATTAAATATAATTCCCCCGAGAGTATTTTTGTCCCAATGTGTATTGATTCAATTTGTTACGCCTATTTGCATCTCTCATATCATTCCCACTCTAGTTCTGGATTTCCCTAAATGTCCTGTCTCTACTCCCACCCTACTCAAACCCACTCTTCAAAGGATGCCAGATTGTTCTTCTTAAAACCCAACCCTCCCCCATTACGACACCCTCCATAATTCCTAATAAAGTCAAATTTCTTAGCCCTACTTCTGCTTTTGTCTTTTCATTTGACTAATAATATTGATTCATACATCATATAAAAATTAGTGGCCACCGGTTGCAGTCCCACCCTGTCTCCCTTCAGCCCCTCGATTTACCTATAAATTTGCTAATCCTAACCTCCTTCTCGTTACTATAGGCTAATCCTTCCTTCAGTACACAGCATACCATACTGTATACAGGAGCCCAGGCCTCTCACCATCTTTGGAATGTTAGTTCATAAAATATGCCTTTTTAAAAAAAATTTTCTAGCTCTGACTTCCCTCCACCATCTTCTACAAACCTACTCAAGATCCTTCCAGATTAAATAAAGAAATCTCTTTACTCTACCACCTTACCCTACCAAATTATTTTTCTTTCTCTTCTTCACCCATAAATATCTTGAAAGCGTGGCCTACACTCACAGTCTCCACCTCCACAGCTTCCACCCACTCTTCTGCCCTTCTAACTGTAACAATACTCTCCTCTACATTAAAAAAATGGAGGCCTCGGGGTTTCCCTGGTGGCGCAGTGGTTGAGAGTCCGCCTGCCGATGCACGGGACACGGGTTCGTGCCCCGGTCCGGGTAGATCCCACATGCCGCGGAGCGGCTGGGCCCGCCTGAGCCATGGCCGCTGAGCCTGCGCGTCCGGAGCCTGTGCTCCGCAACGGGAGAGGGCACAACAGTGAGAGGCCCGTGTACCGAAAAGAAAAAAAAAAAAAAGAAATAGAGGTCTGACTCTTGTGTGGTAAAGTGAACGACCTGCTTTTACAAACTTTAGCTTAGGGGACTACAGAAAATGAAGTCAAGAATTTTCAGGCTACAGATATCCAGCCCCAAGCCTGTCATGCTCTATCTTGGAATCCACATGAGACTTTTATTTTCAAAATAAAAATCACTTTTTCATGTTTACAAAATTTCTCATAAAAAGTTCATAGATACTCATTACATCTGTAGAAGCAGAGACTGAGACTTGACCCCTTGTGCAATTAATTTATTGAAGTGCTCTCAGGAGAAACCTATAAGGATTTGAAGGAAACATGATAGGAAAAGAAGCTAAGGATAAATTGGAAGATTGGGATTGACTTATACACACTGCTATATATAAAATAGATAGCTAATAAGGACCTATTGTGTAGCACAGGAAACTCTATTCAATACTCTGTAATGAGCTATATGGAAAAAGAATCTAAAAAAGAGTGGATATATGTATATGTATAACTGACTCACTTTGCTGTACACCTGAAACTAATGCAATATTGTAAATCAACTATAACCGCCCCCAAAAAAAAGAAACTAAGGGAAGATGTGATTTCAGCCTGGTACCTCAGCCAAGCATTAATGTCCCCACAGAATTATCCCACCTTGAGATATGAGGTGAGGCTTCTGTATCTGCTCATCAAACACTCTTATACTCAGGCCTTCCCTGGTGAGAAAGGAGGTCACTTGTAACCTCCCAGGCATTTCCAGGAAAGATAACTCTTGTTGACCAAGGGCAGTTCTCTAGAGAAAAATGCAGCTATGAGCCCTCAGCTGCCAATACTCACAGCAGCTGGAAGATATGTACACTGGAAAGGAGTGTGGGCGATGCAGCAATAGGGTATTACAAAATAAAAAGAAGAAAATTTAAATTCCACCAAGAAGAAATCACCCAGATTATTTTCATGTTTTGTTTATGACAAAATAGCATGTATAATGACAATTTTATATTTATTTTAAGCATATACATATATATCTTTTAATGAAAATGGAATTATATTATGTATGCTGCTTAATCATATTTTTATGCTTAAAATATATCACAGACTGTATTTCCATTTTAATAAATATGGACCTAGAAGGACTGGAGATATGGTAATACAATACCTGGTATTTCCATGTGGAGGAAATGCCCTAGAGTAACCATCTGGCCTCTTGCTCTATCTCCTTTTTTTTTTTTTAAGATTTTTTTTTTTTTTTGATGTGGGCCATTTTTAAAGACTTTATTGGATTTGTTACAATATTGGTTCTGCTTTATGCTTTTTGGTTTCTTGGTCCCAAGGCATGTGGGATCCTAGCTCCCCGACCAGGGATTGAACCCATAGCCCCCTGCACTGGAAGGTGAAATCTTAACCACTGGACCACCAGGGAAGTCCCTTGCTCTATCTCTTACTCATTCCCTAGTCTGAAGAGGCATGAGGTGCCTGTATACTTGGGGAGTGACAGCCATTGATCCACATTTCTTGATTGATGTAGCTAATCTATTGAAAGGCTATAAAGAATTCACTCCCATTGCTTTCCTGCCTGCCCTGGACCATTATGAGGCACTGTATCTGATTGAGTATGTCTTCTCTGCACAGTTAAACTTTCACTAAAATGAGGTATCCTAAGGTCTAGACTTGGGGACCGGAAGTGCTAGCAAGCCCATTTGGCCCTCACATCTAAGCTGTTTTATCTACAACAGTTTTATCATTATGAAGGTGATTTTTTATCTCCATCTTATTACCTCCTCTATGTATCTTTCAATTTTTTGCCAAAAACAACCTCAAACTCCAACATACAGCATAATTTTAAAGAGCTACATATAATTCCATTGTTTGGATTATGTATAATAATTTTAACCAATCTCCTCCAGTTAACATTTCCTTTAATTAACATTTCAGTGCTATTATAAATAATACTGAGATAAATACCCTTGCTACTCGTTCATGGAAAGAGATCTAAGAAATATTAAAGTGAAAAAGGCAAGGTATAGAATCATATGCATGGTATGGTCCCATTTGATGAAAAAAAGGGAGGGGATAAAATAGATATTATTTTTGGTTACCAAAGGATGACTGAGACCACCACAAAATCAATCAATTGCCATGTGTGGTGAAGAATTACACACTTTTTGAAAAAAACACTCCTGGCATGACATTGAGCCCCAGTAGAGATAGAGCTCCTGACCATGCAGCCAGAAAACTGTCTACTATGAGCTTGATTCTGTCAGTCACCTCTACCAAATCATAATGTCAGATGGGTCCAATAGCAACTCACCATAAGATGGAAGTGTTCCATCTGGGACTGGGCACAAGCAGGCTGGAGAGCATAAGTAAGCTACACAAATCAGGGGGTCCAGGTCACCAAGTCACACAGTACTGCTGCACTGACACCTCTCCT